ACGACGCTCTTCCGATCTCCCCAAAACCCCAAAACCCCATTAAGTATATAAAGGGGTGATCAAGAGAATTTAATAATTAATTTAAATATAAAATTCTTGCTAAAAAATAACTAAATGAGAGAATTGGTAGTTTAACTTTTGTAATACCTAATTGTTTTAACGAAACCTATTTAGACTTATTGGCTCTTATGGCGTCAATTACATTAAAAGAATCGATCTACGTTCAATGCATGTCTTTAAAATAATGTAAGTATCCTTTTCCTTTGGTATCCTCTGTTTTTGAATCTTAGCAAATTTTCAGCCCAAGATTTCTCACTTCAACTTAAAATTTGTAGTGAATATATAAGAGGGCATATAAAGTAGATCACAATGTCTCAACTTGGCTTTATCATGAAGGGTCTTGCTCTTGTATATCATCTTCAACTTATGGAACTTGAAAGTAAATTCTAATGCTTACTAATATTAATTAGAGGACTCAAAGAGTCTATTATCAATGTTAAACGGTGATTATTTATGGAACAATTATGTCAAGAAGCAATAAAACTTAAAGAAAAATACAAAGATAAATACAAAAATATCAGGAATGAAAGGTAAAAATGCTGCTGGTAAAAATAGGATTAATAATATCAGCAATATGGCTCATTTTAAAGTTATGGATATTAGATAACTTCTGAATTATACTAGAGACAGATTAGATTTTTACTCAAGTTAACATTCAGAGAAGCTGATTGAATGCTAGGAAGATATTGATATGAAGTAGATAGAACTAAGGAAAAAAGTCAATGATGTTTTCCATAACTTTCATGATGATTATCAAAACATAGACATGAATGATGACATTTACAATATGAAAAATCCAGAAGGCATAAATTATGATGAATTAATGAAGGAACAGCTGCAAAATCTAATGTCCTAAGATTTCGGTCTAGATTTTAAGTTTGATTCTGACAAAGAGGAACAAGGAAAGCCTTTTGAAATTCTATCAAAGTACTTTATCACTGATTAAAAGGACATATCTTTGAATGAATCTATTCAGGACAAAATGAATGCTGCTCTAAGTTAAGACAGTATTTTTAAACAAAATGAACAAAAAATTATGAGTGATAACTATTTCGATGATTTCAATAATATTATTTGTAGTGATCATGATTAAACCCTAAAACCAGAAAAAAGAGGCAATGGCGTATTATATAACAAGAATTTTTAAGATTTCTTAATGGGATTCGATAAATAGTCAATTAAAAAGAGACCTTTATTATTTAAAGGATTAGATTTCTTCGAAGCCTAGGTATCTCTCATATTAAAGAAAGATTTAAAGTCGGTTAAAAAAAGCAAGAATGACTTATTCGATGACTTTATTCTTGATCTGTTTTCCTGTAAGAACAATGTGAGCATAGATGTTTAGAGATATTACTCATCTGAAAATGACACAAGAGCTGATAGCATGATCCCTCTTGATTAGTCACTAATTATATCAACTACTAAGAAGCAATAGCTTAGTTTACTTCTTTAAAACTTAGGTTCCTCAGATGGCTAGAATAATTTTGATGTTTCTGAGATTAGAGGAGGTGCAGCAGTTTCCTCATCATCTAATTAATATTCTTCCACTAACTAGTTGAGAGTAGCAATAGGAGACAATGATCTTAAGCCTTAAAAACTAGATTTTAATTAGTATGAGCAAGTTAGCAATGATGTATTTATGTAATAATTCATCTAATTCTTTCCAAATGATCCTCAAATGAACATTGACGATCCTTTGATTAAAGATACAACGAATATGGACATTGACTTCCAGCATTTGAAAGAGCTAGAAACTTCTAACATGTTCTCAAGGGTTCATCATAACTATAACATTCAAAAGCACATGACAGAGAAGAGATTGGCTATTCTTGAGCAAATTAACAAAAAACTTCAGAAATCTAGAGCTGATCATATAACTTTTGATGAAATTGTTTGCAAAAAGACCACTAAACATGAAGCTTGTGAGTATTTTTTGAGTTTACTAATCTTTCAGTAAGCTGGAGTTTGTGAAATTAAGCAAAATAAACTTAGAGACTAGTTTTCTATTGAGTCTTTCCACCCTATTAAAATCTATAAAATGGTTTGAATATAGAAGTATTATTATTATTAGCATTTAATATTTCTTAAATTACTAATTTAAATGATTGATTCTAGATTAGTTGCGCTAAGGGGTTTTGGGGTTTTGGGGTTTTGGGG